AAGTAACTCAGATACAACAACCCAATTCCCTTAGCTCTTTACAGCAAGTCATTCCAGGTCAAACCCAGAGAAACCCCTGCAGAGTTGACAGTGAAGTCTGCAAACTACCTGTCAATGGTCAATCATGAGAGTTTGCTTACTCCAACGCTCTGGGCAAGGATGAGAGTTAATAATAATCCTTGTATTTGATTCGATGTCTTATCATGTCATCGGAATGTCTCAAAGCGCTTCACGGAATTCACTGTAGAGTGTGGTGACTGTGTATTTTGCAGGTGAACAATTTGAGTCAATTTGCACCCAGCACTGTTCCGTAAACAGCCTTATAATAATAATAATAATAATCCTTGCATTTGATATAGCGCTTTTCACATCGGGAGGACGGCCCAAAGCGCTTCACAGAACACACTGTAAAGTGAAATTGACTGTATATTTGTGGGCGAACGCGGCGGCCAATTGCGCACAGCAATGTTCCACAAACAGTCGTGGATTGAAAATGACCAATTTATTATTGTTTTTGTTTTTTTGGAGGGATTATTATTAGGCTCTGTGTGGAGTAAGGAAACTTGCCCAAGGTTTCGCCCTCTGCCGGGGATTGAACTCAGGTCTCCGCTTGCAAAGCGAGTGCTCTAACCACTGAGCTACAGGACTCCCAAAGCCTTGAAGTGAAGGATCACGGACAATACAGCAATATAGTGCACCCCCAGCACAGCACTGGAGTGTTATAATAATAATAATAATAATAATCCTTGCATTTGATATAGCGCTTTTCACGTCGGGAGGACGTCCCAAAGCGCTTCACAGAACACACTGTAAAGTGAATTAACTGTATATTTGTGGGCGAACGCGGCAGCCAATTGCGCACAGCAATGTCCCACAAACAGTCGTAGATTGAAAATGACCAATTTATTATTGTTTTTGGTTTTGGAGGGATTATTATTAGGCTCTGTGTGGAGTAAGGAAACTTGCCCAAGGTTTCGCCCTCTGCCTGGAATTGAACTCAGGTCTCTCGCTTGCAAAGCGAGTGCTCTAACCACTGAGCTACAGGACTCCACAAGTGTTAGCTTAGACGGTGAGCTCAAAGCCTTAATGAGGGACTTGAACCCCAGCAGAGCGAAGATACGTAATACAACTTTAAAAGCCCAACTTCATATACTTACAATGTAATATTATTTCACAAGTCAAAATTACCCCCTTGCTATTTCTACTCAGCGCATGGCACACAGTAACTGCCCTCTTGTCATTTCCTCTCGCGAGGCAGTCACCAATTGTCACATGTTTCTCTTCAAGACCAAAAATAAACCTTAAAACAAAGGGGAATTGAAGTGAATTCTAATTGTTTAAAGTAATCTTTTGATTTTTCTTAATGAAAGGAATGCTGACGATTAGACAGCTTTATGGTGTTTGCTTAGCAGATTTAACGAACAGGAATTGAGTGGATCGAGAGAGATCAATGAACTATATTTTTTATCTTATGTTCCTTTTACCTTTTCTGTAACCTGGGCGAGTGGGATGGGGCTGGGGGGGAGGGAGCATTCTTCCTAACAGCCACAGATGAGACGATTCGCACAATGCTTTAGGCTAAAGGAGGCAAAATTAATAATGATAATCCTTGCACTTGGAAGAGTACCTTATCACGTCGTTCAGATATCTCAACGCATTTCACAGCATATAACTGCAAAGTGAATTGACTTACATCTTGGATATTTCTTCCAATATATAGAAACCTGATGGTTTTGTTTTATGTTATTTTATTGCTTTCTATCACTTTTCCTCATACACGCGTTCATAACATCCAGGCTCGACTCCGCAAACTCACTGCTTGTCGGCCTCCCCAAATCCTCCCTCCATAGGCTGCAGATCATCCAGAACTCTGCAGCTCGTGTCCTTTCTTGCACCAGGCTCCGCGACCCTATCACCCCCACCCTTGTCTGACTCCACTGGCTTCCCATCACAGAAGATACAGTTCAAGATCCTGGTTCTCACTTCCAAAGCTCTCCATGGCCTTGCTCCCCCCTACCACTGTGACCTCCTAACCCCCTGCCCGGTCCTTCCGCTCATCGGGCTCCGACCTGCTTCATGTCCCCCGCCTTGCCCATCCTACCATGGAGTCCTGTAGCTCAGGGGTAAGAGCACTTGCCTTGCAGCGTGATTAACCAAGCAGTAAGTAGGAACCTGGTTTGTCCATTGGCAGATTGCATTTCCGGGGGTAATAATTCCTTCAACAAAATAATAATAATAATTTGGTCACTCCATCCACAACTGTTTGTGAGACGCTGCTGTGTGCAATTGGCTGCCATGTTACATCCACAAAATATACAGTCAATTCGCTTTACAGTATATTCTGTGAAACGCTTTGAGACGTCTTGATGACGTGATAACGTGCTGCATCAAATGCAAGGATTATTCTTATTATTCTTATTGGCGGGTGGGGCTTCAGCCACTCTGCCCCCACCCTCTGGAACTCCATCCCGTAACCCTCCACCTCTCCCCTCTCTAGCCTCCTTCAAGACCCGTCTCAAGACCTTCTCTACGACCGTGCCTTCAATCACCCTTCCTCCCCCCCTGCCCTCCACCCTCCCCGATCCCAAACCCCAGCTCGGGTCCGAAACACTGATTGTCCAGCACCTTGGGTTGTCCTCCCAACATGAAAGGCTTTATACAAATGTAATTGTGTGGTTATTGTTGTTGTTATTTTCGCCTCGTAATCCTAAAAAAGCCTTCAGAACATTGGCCAATTGTTGATGTAAACGCAAAATAGGATATATGTTAGAAAATTGTGGACATTTTCTGCACAGAAGGAGATAACTTGCATTTATACCGTGCGAGCTGCCCACTGGAGCTATCTCCTCTAATCCCATTTTTCTTTATCTGCAAAGTCTATACATTGACAGCGGGCGTGAGTGATTGTCAGAAGCTTTCAATTCATAACCTAACCTCATCCAACTGCGCTCGGCAATCTTGCAAAATGACTGTGACAGAAATTCCTAACCACATATGATATCGCCACATATAAAAAAATAAACCCCTCCCTGGTGTGTCATTGCCAGTGTATACATTGAATGCAACAAGAGCATTCCCGGTGGAGTCTTGGTGTTCATTTTGTAAGCTACTCTTGGCTTTTTTTNGTTTGGTCAGCCGGGTTTCTGACACATGAGGAAACCCATTATCGTGCTTAAGAGGATCCAAACCAAACAGAATTCCATGCATCCTATCTATGCATGGAAATTCCAGAGATACTGTTTTTTTTGTAATGGAATGGGCACTCTCTCCCTGAAGAGATGCATCCCACTCACCTAATTCCAGAGAATATTAGGCGCAGGATGGCAAGAGCCCATACTGCAGACTGTGTGTGTGGGGGTACTGCAGGAATTTAACTAGCTAAAACCTCACAGTTTGCCATTAAATGCACTGGCAAGCTTTCTCACTGCTTGTCCAGCTAGGACCACCCTACCCATTAAAGCTATCGCGTGCAGGATTAACAGGAGCTGAGTGCGAAGATTCCCTGCCCCCAGTGACCTGTCGGTCTGCCCTTCCAGGTCCTGCTGATGAGCCAGGCTGGGATGTGCTGTCCTTAGCAGTGCCATGGAATATCCACCAGAATTGGAAATATGGACAACCCAAAAGCGAATGTTAACTCCAGATTCGATTTCACAGAAATAATTACGATTACTCTGCCCTTGTCCGAACAAAATCAACCCTGTTCCTCTTGTTAAACTCGCCGATCAACGCATTGTGTGACGTTGCGGGAGAGAGAGAGGAAAAGGATTTATTGAAATTGTCCCAAAGTAAAATAGCAAGATCTCGCCAGGAGATTATTACTACAATAACTACTAGAGCTGTGCTGAGATAATTTTTCTTCACTCAAATCCACATGCGGCACTTAAAACCCAAACGTTTTAACAGTCTCTTCATTTTTTTTGTGGGATACACGTGGAATAATCTATTTGTCTAGATGCTTATCTCCTGTAATCTGCCGGCTAAGGTTACGAATTTGCAACACAGTCTTCAAAGGGCTGAAAGCCTACTTGAGATAACAGTAGGAGAGGAGGCCCACTCACTTTAAATCAAATTAAAGGAATACTGAATGTTAATTTCAGAGCCAGTTTATTGCAGTGAAAAGCACAGCATACTGGCTAATTTTTTGTTTGCCAGATCACTAGATGCAAATGGAAAGATCGTGGGAACAATTGTGGTGGAGTCCTATGGAGTCCTATGAGTCCTATGAGCACTCGCCTCGCAAGCGAGAGGACCTGGGCTCGAATCCCAGGTGGGGTGAAACCTTTGATAAGTTTCCTTACTCCACACGTTTCTGTTCACCTAGCGGTAAGAAGGAACCCGGTTGTTAGTCGATTGGCGGATTGCTTTCCGGAGGTAATAATCCCTTTAAAAAATGCGGCCACTCAATCCACGATTGTTTGTGAGATACTGCTCTGCGCAATTGACTGCTGCATTTCGCCCACAATTCAATTTAACAGCAGCCAATGTGCACACTGCAATGTTTTGAAATGGTGTTATTTTATGAAATGCCTTCACACGAGCCAAACAGATGCTCAGTTACTGCAGCACAAGCAGATTTGATGCCTCATATTATCCTGGACCCGCACATGAAATATTTATTCATTCTGGTAATCAATACGTTGTCTGCATATCAGTGGCGCTCAACGTACACTGAGCAATGATCTGTGAGATTTTTCTAAGCAGGAAACCGCTGAGCTCCAAGTTCTAACATGGGGCTTCAGCCCACAAACTTCTGAGTTGCAGGTGAAAGGACTACCAACCGAACCAGGCTGATCCAAGAATAATATGTGCTTCATTGGTATTCCTGGGGTATAAATGCCCCCTTCCCTTCTCCCTCCCAGCCCAATATCAGTGATGGGCCAAATGATTTTCTTCTTCCTGCTAAAAAAAAAAAAATTCTAATGTCAAGATGTTTCACAGCAACTTATCGCTTCAAGACACCTCAAAACACATCGCAAGCAATTAACACGTGACTGCTTTACTTGGCAAGCACAGCGGCCATTAATGCCAGCAGCAACGTTTGAGAGTTTTTGACGTACAGCTCGCGATAAAAATGCGTGCTCCTCCTCCTCTTTGGTTTCCCGGTTCAACCACAGACACCTGGCGAGAATGGTTCTGTGGCAGCAGGTGATATGCAGACTCTTTCGTGCAATACGCAGGACTGTAACATGCGACGCACACTCTGTAACGTGTGCCACGCGCTCTGTGACATGTGATGCACACTGTGCCGAGACACACTGCGACATGGAATACGCACGCCGCAAACGTGTGATGCGCACTCTTAACACGTGATACGCACTCTTAACACGTGATACACATGTTGCCGTACAGAAGAAACACAATTACCGTATAATAACACATTGCAACATGCGATCAACATGTAACACCCACACTTTAGCATAACGCGGGCAACAACAACAACAAATTACATTTGTCTAGTGCCTTGTACACAATGGGCAGCCCCATTCTAGCTTGCGAGACACCTATGTTCTTAAAGGAATGCGAGCTCCAATGAGGCACCTTATGACAGAGTCACCACGCTCTACACATGTAAGCCACACGCGCAGTACCACATGTGCCGGACGGACACCACGAAACTTAATACGAGACGTGTCTGAGAACATGTCGCAACCGATGAATAATTGAAGCGGGAAGGAACACAAAAAGGGAACAGCTCACTGCTGCGGAGTTACCCACAGCAAAGTTATTGTTCGGAAACGATTTCTTTTACTTCACCGGGTGTCTTGCCTTCCTTTTTTTTTAATTAGAATTTATTGAAGCAATTTGAGCAATAACGCCCATTACACCACCCTCGTGTTTTGGTTCAGGTTTAGTCAGCCTTGCCTATCCAGCTGCAGCCAAGTTAACCCCACATCATGACTTCATTATGTGCACAAGTGCACATTTAATTAAAGAACAAGCAGCCTAGCTCTGGGGAGTCTGGTCGACTGGTTCGGCACACAGGCTGAAAGAAAAACAAGTGTACAGAAGATTTTATCTTTGCGCAGTAAATTATTATACGTAATAATCATAATAATAATCCTTGAATTCATAGAAGTGCCTTATCAGGTGGTTGAGACATCTCAAAGCTCCTCACAGGATTTTGCTGTGACATGGAGTACCTGTGCATTTTGTAGACGAACGCAGCAGTCAAGTTACGCACAGCAATGTCCGCACACTGAAGCCGTAAAGCCAATGACCAATTTTATCCGGGGGATTGTTGGCCAGGACATTGGGAGAGAGAAACTCCCCTTCTCTTTTCGAATAGTACCATGGGATCTTTAGCCCCCGAATGAGCAGACAGACGGGATCTGGGTTTAATGTCTCATTCCAAAGGTTGGCCCTTTTGACGATGCAGCTTTTTTCAGGCAAACTGGCAGGTAACTGAAAGCAAATTATTAATTAGAATTCTGCAAAAAAAAACAGAGGGTCGAACTTCCATTTAGAAACCGGCTTCTAAATTTAAAAAAGAAATCCACAATTCTGTGACGTCTTGAAGTTTCAGGCCTGACTTGCTAAGACTGGGTGGAATTCCGAGCCTTCGGTTGGAGGTTGCCAATCCAAATTGATTACAAGCCAAATAAATAGTGAGGCTTCAGTAAATTATTAAAGGCAGTGCTTCTTTTCGCCCTGATTTCTCACTGCTAACACTGCCTTACACTGCATTACGCGCTTACTTCATGAGACAATCACCCCCATTTTTGTTGGCTTTCCATCTCCCAGAGCATTGAGTTCAAGATCCTTGTCCTCACCTTTAAAGCCTTTGCCCCAACTTACCACGGTCTTGCTCCTCCCTACCTCTCCAACCTAGTAAAACTTCACCAACCTGTCTGCTCCCTCCGTCTGCAAGTACTGGCCTACTCCACATCCCCTGCCCTGCCTGCTCCAGTCTCGGTGGACGGGCCTTCAGCCTTTTGTGCCCCACCCTCTGGAACTCCATCCCGGAGCCCCTCCGTCTCACCTCCTCCCTTGCCTCCTTCAAGGACCATCTCAAGACCTTCTTTTTCGGCTGTGCCTTCTCCAACTTCCCCCTCCCCCCCATTCTTGTGTGTTTATAGTCGCACTCCAAGTGCCGGTGAATTGTCAAAACATTTTTATTTGGGTGGCACATGCGGAAACCCATCACCGTTGCTTAAGAGTATCCAAACCAAACTGAGAATTCCAAGCATCCCACCTACACATGGAAATCCGAGAGATAGTTTGTTAGAATGGAATGCGCGCTCTCTCCCTGGAAGAATGCATCCTGTTTACCTAATTCCAGAAAGTATTAGGGTTAGGTTGGCAAGAGCCAAGGCTTGGGCACCCCAGAGTGTGCGTTGGGGATAACTGCTGGAGTCTAACCAACTAAAACTGCATAGCTTGGAATTGACTGATATAGATAACCAACCCTGTACAGTCACTGCCACAGCATTGCATTAAAACGAACCAAATATGTTTTCCTATCCCTTTCTCCCACAAGTGCAATAAATCCTCAATCCCAGTCCTCAAAAAGAGAGTGGCAAAGCTTCACACTGACAGACTTACGCACAAGGTGTACTCCTTTATGAATACTTTGAAGTGTCGAATGCATCACACGAGTATTCAAGGCCCAATAAAAGTGAGTATTATTTGTCACTGAGATAATCTCAGCCTGTCAGCTAGAGGTATTACATAGCCTGCTCTAGTATCATAATCCTTCAAACCAGATATTCTTCCTGTCACATGATTGGAAACCCAGATGGCATTAGCCATACACAGCAATAGTATCAGGCAGCAATATATTGGTGGCAGCCACTCCTATAATACGGGGCAGCTAAACTAAACTAGTAGACAGGAAGGTTGGAAGTAAGCAAAATAAAAGTCAGAACCTATGGGATGTATGATAAAGATAGCTGTGAGTGTTGCCCAATGCGTCTCTACTTGAGTGTGTTGAGGAATAAAAGGGGTCACATTCATTTTCGTCCTTTATGAATTTCCCATGTCAAGATGTGAATCTTACCCAAACGTTTGTGAGCGTGTGTTGTGTGTGTGGTTATGTGATGGAGTGCATTCAGGGGCAGACTGGCTGTATGGGAAATTGGGAATGAATAATTTCCCAAGCGCGAGTTTGGAAGTATTATTTATTCAGCCAACGAGTGTGTGCGCTTGTGTGGGAATGTGAGACTATATGTTTGATTGTGTGTGGTGGCTGTCTGTGTGATTGTGAGTGTGTGTACGTCTGTGTATGTGAATGTTCTCCCACCTGGAAAGACAGGAGGGGAAAATGAACCTCTTATTGTCACCAATGGCCTTAGGAAATCCCTGACCTCTGTTTCCAGCCTCACCTCAATGGCATTGCTGATATTGGAACCTGTGAGATCTTACAACCTTTAACATAGTCTGCGGCTGCAGTGTTACGGAGCACCTACACTGTTGGAGGTGCCATCCTTTTACACCTTTACAGTGGAAAATTCCATTCAGTGCAGTGCAATGAAAAGTGTTGCATTTGCCAGCGCTCACATCCCTCAGCTTGATGAGCACAAACATTCACCCAAAAAGGCATTTACTGCAGTGCCCTCTGGCTCATAGGAGCAAACGGCAACCAACAGCAGCTCAGAGGAAGCCAGAGTCAAGTGTCCATGACAACAGAATTCGTGCTATGTGTACGTGATGTATTTTAGGCTGCAGTTGTGTTTTGTGTCTTGTTCGGGTGTCCTTTCTGAAGGGCAGATAAGCAGGGACTCTTCGGGTCCGGGTTTGCTCTAAGGTGATGTGCTTGGCAATGAAATATGGGAATTGAGTCCACCCGATGTCCTGGCCCACGACCCCACCCCGCCCCCCACCACCCAATAAAAATTGGTCACGGCTATTTGTGGGACACTACTGTGTGCACTTGGCTGCTGGGTTTTGCCCACAAAATACGGTTAATCTACTCGACCGTGAATCCCGTGAAGCGCTTTGAGACGTCTCAACGACACGATAAGGCGCCATATGACAAATGCAAGAATTATTAGTATTGCCGGAAGTCCTGAAGAAACATTAAAATCTCTTCAAGTAGATGTTAGTAATCCTCTGAGATTATTCAAAACAGAGAAGGGAGTTTCCCCGCTGGTGTCCTGCTCAGTGGATATATCGATTCACCCCATGACTTTCTGTGGCATTTTGTTGTATGCACAAGTAGCGCCTCATTTGTCTAAAAATACACTCAGAACGACTGAGAGTGATTACTGTAAAGCATTTTGAGGTGTTCCTATGCGAAGAGGCGCTATAAAAACACACGTTCTTTCCTGATGGGTAATTCCAGCCCACGCATTCGGTGCAATGCAACTTCAAGCCTGCACAGAGATGAATTTGCTAAATGTTTACAAAGAAATCAAGTGATTGGCTGAGCTGCCTTTTGTGCGTCTGATAACAGAGTTGAGTTGGCTATCCCTCTCGCTGTTGTCCCTTTTATTTACGGTAGTGCTGTGTTTTCAGAGGCCAGTTAAGCAGAGCCTTTGGACGCAAACCTGCAGAGTTCGGTGACGCAAAGAGTAACTCTGCACTGCTCTCTCTGCAAGGCGGCACAACTCCCGTTGGTGTGAACCAATGCCAGCAGTAACACTGAGCCATGACATCAGCTGCCGGGGTGTGTGGATGTAGCAGAAGCCATCAGGAATCTGTTAGGATCTTGAGCACCCAAATTCCACACCTTTAGCCTGTATGTGGAGCCCCGTAGTGTAGGGGTTAGCCCGCTTGCCTCACAAGCGAGAGGACCCGGGTTTGATTCCCAGCCAGGGAGAAACTTTAAGCAAGCTTTCTTACTCCACACTCCTCTGTTTACTGAGCAGTAAGTAGGAACCCGTTTGGTTAAGTGCTTCGAGACGCTGTCTGGTGTGAAGGGCGCGCAATGTAAATGCAAGTTGCTGTTGTTGTTATGCGATTGGCAGATCGCTTTCCGGGGTTATTCTAACATTATTATTAGTAAAAGAAAAAAAGTTGACAGTACATTTTTTTCACCTGGTAAATATTTTCATCTTGTTCACGTTGTTGGAAAGCCTTGTACTATAAAAGGCTTTTCATGGGATCTTTGAAAAAATGCAATGTTCAAGCATCAAAGAAGCACACAGGGAAACACAACAAGGAACAGTTCATTAAATAGCGCATGAAATATTTATTTGTTTTTTCATTGTTTTATGTATTGGGAGCTATTATTTGAATGTTAAAACGCAAGAGGCCTTAAATTCTCATTATTGTTTCTTGCAACAGATCCTATAGTTTGGGTTGTAATTAGGCACTTTAGATTGTCGCATCAGCTCCACTGTCGGGCACTGGGACATGGTACCATGTTCCTGAGGGAAAGGGGATGGTTATGTCCCATCTGTATGGGGAGAATAGCAGTCATCACAACTGTAATAATAATAATACTACTAATAATAATACTAATAATAATCCTTGCATTTGATATATCGCCTTATCACAGCGTCGAGACGTCTCAAAGCGCTTCACAGGATATACAGTAAAGTGGA